CCCAACCCCAAAGAGCAATTGATGGATATATGGCAATTGTTAGAAAGGCACCTGGATTTTCTCTTAAAGGATCATTGACTTTTTAAGATACCTAAACATATTTAACTATTGAAAGAACGAAACATTCAGTTACCCTGTGAAAAATGTCCATTCTTAAGGATTTATATTCAGTTTTGAAATAAAGTATATATCTCTTACTGTATATATAACTTCATGTGGCTTAAAATAAGTTGAAAAGTGCTTTTTGGTAAAATTTCCTACCTCAACAAAATAACCAGCAAGAAAAAAAAATGCAGACAGAAATAAATTGAAATTCAAAATTTGAGTGTCAATAAATTCTGCAGCCCACACACCACCCATGAGGCAACATATCATTTACATTTTTCCGACTCTATTTGGATCTGTGTATTAAATGGATTATACTAACTACTCTGACTAGAAAGAAGCTTAATATTGAGTATGTCTACTCAACCAACGCCCTCCCGTATTTGTAAAATGCATGATAAGCGAAATAACATCAACAGCCTGGTTTGGCATATATTTAACATGTCCTATATATATTTTTTTATTTGTCCTCATTATTTATCAACTTAAATGCCATGTTATAAAATCAGTTAAGAGCTCTCAGGTTTCGGTAAGCATTTGTCATTGTATTTGGATAATGCATATCAATTTATAAAATTAAATACAAAAATCAATTAATGCTTCATGTAAAGAATATCTAATTAATCCTTAACCCCCAAATGCCATGACCTCAAGTTATATATCTATGTCCTTTGAGTCAATAAACAATAGATATCAACAGGTTAGCATGAAATCTAGTGACGCTGCAAAAACTTGTCAGCAAACCCCCAATATCACTTTAGGTTAGTCCCTGACACTAATAAGCAGGGATGGAATTGGGACTCAGATCATAGCATATTCCCAGATCATAGCATATTCCCAGATCATGGCATTTTCTCAGATCCTATCATGGCGTGGCATACTCTCTAAGATCATGGCAATCAGAAATCAGGATGATTTTTTTTTCATTAAAATAATAGGTGACCAATCTTCCCAGGTAGGCAGTGAATGATTAATTATTGATCCGATAATCTAATAAATGCAGATGAGTAAAAATCAATGGTGTCCCAAACATAGTGCCATATTTCTCCCATACAGGACATGATATAGAACTTGTTGGCAGGTGTAATATCTCATATTGTATTTGTAACTGACAAACATGGGCTAGGGGTTCTAATCATAGATGCAGCAAGCCCAGAAGACAGAAATGCTAGAACGTGTACAGGCAAGGGACAAGGACAGTTAGAAACAAGAGCTGTCGGTAGGACAGCAAAGCTCGACTATTCTTAGTGCTTGATAGTAAAAAAAAATGCTTGATACAGTTACCTCCTCCTATTTACAGGTTGGAGTCATGATGGTGAACAAGTGTGCAAAGTTTCAAAGCCATATGTCAATGGACTTTGAAAATATTTGAACTATTACAAAAACTTTAACGTAAATTCTAAGTCGAAAAAGGGGCATAATTCTGTCAAAATGCTTGATAGAGTTACCACCTCCTGTCTACAGGTTGGGGTCATGATGGTGAACAAGTGTGCAAAGTTTCAAAGCCTTATGTCAATGGACTTTGAAAATATTTGAACTATTACAAAAACTTTAACGTAAATTCTAAGTCGAAAAAGGGGCATAATTCTGTCAAAATGCTTGATAGAGTTACCTCCTCCTGTCTACAGGTTGGGGTCATGATGGTGAACAAGTGTGCAAAGTTTCAAAGCCATATGTCAATGGACTTTGAAAATATTTGAACTATTACAAAAACTTTAACATAAGTGGTTACGCCGACACAGACGCTGACACTGACGCCGACGCTCGGGTGACTACAATAGCTCTACTTATTCTTATCGAATAGTCGAGCTAAAAATGCAATTTTATTTCATAGGGTGAACCATGACTTAGTCAATGTTAAAAAACAGAACTTTACCACTCTCTGTAGTGAGTTGAATGCAAACAAAAAGTGGTTGTCCCTACATTATTTCAGGCTTCAAAAAAGTTTGAACCGTCTTGTCATAAGCTACTGAGGCTGTTACAGCCAGACAGCTGAGCTTTCTCATCTAAAAGAATTTCCAATCCCACATGACGTAGTTAACCAAATTAAGAGAGTGCCAAAACACAGCAAGCCAACCACCTACACCCTAGATAAGCCCAAAACGGTGTATTTCTTAACCTGCTTATTTTCTTAAAAGAAAATATCAAGCTTCCATTAATTTTATGGAACGGTTAATTCTCAATTTTGGGAAAGTCAGTCAACAGTAAAGAGTCTACAGATGTCATACTGGTGGCAAAGACTTAAATCAATTTCTGTTTTAGCTAGGTAAAATTTATTTAGACATCCAATTAAACATTGAATCAACTGACCAGTCATGAATATTGTAGGATGATGCCACTACACTTTATCACAGGGATAGTTTTAGATTTTCTAGAATTAATGGAAGTGGATAGGCAATTAAGCTATCAAAAGTCAGCAACCATATCCAAGCAGTCGAAGAGGACCCCTCTCTTTTGATATGAAGAGCCTGAATGACACAATTAATGCAATGAGCTGTGCTTTATATTGTATGTTCTGTGTTACATCATCAGCACAAATTTGATGCCTTTTCCAATGGTCATTAATTAACAAAGCAATTAATGCGGAAATATTAGACATCATTTGTTTTCTTTTTCAGGTCAGTGTAAAGTTGTGCTAAGATTAAAACCTTCTTAAATTAAGTAAATATTTACAGATAATATAAATATAGTTATCTTGTACAGATTAAATGTAGAAGTTTTATAGGATAATGTTGTAGTGGTCAACATTTTGTTTATTCTTGACATACTGAAGTGAATGAGTAAATGTGTTGAAAAGTATCACAGTAAAACTACCAGTCCCCATGTTAACACATCCTAGATTGTTATTGTAAGCATTACACAATTCTAATAATAAATATGATAGCTTTATGGCAATTTATAATGAATTTCAAATATTTCCTTGATAAATTCCACTTCCCTGATTAAATGGACTGACAATAAACTTTTCTGTAAAAACTATCATTTTGAAATTCTAAAAAAAGTAGACTCACAGCCAAATTACAATATACATTGTACTTTATAAAGCTGATGATTAAATCAATATATTGACCCCAACTTGAACTTATAGATCAACATCAACGGTGTGAAAGTGACCTTTCATTCCAAGAAAACATATCTAAAATCTTCAATTATTTCAAAAGAATTGAATCATGTTTGTCATGTTATTAATAACAAATAATTTTGATAATCCACAATTAATTAAACCACTTCCTATAATGATTATTCAGCTTAAATTTGTAATTAACTGGGATTTCTAATTAATCAAATTGTAAAGCATTCACAGTAAAACTGTCACGCCTTGTTGCATTAAACTTATAGGTTGACATGACTGAAGACTGCTGATTTGAATATGCACACAAGAAAAATATAACTTGCAAAATGATGTTATGACATAACATAACAGTTATGAACAAGTTATGAATTGACTGAATTATAATTAAGCAACTGCAAACTGAAATTTGAGCTGCGTCATGACAAAACCAACATAATGGGTTTGTGACCAGCATGGATCCAGACCAGCCTGCGCATCCGCGCAGTCTGATCAGAATCCATGCTGTCTGCTATCAGTTTCTCTACTTGTTATAGGGTTTGTAAGCGAAGAGCATGGATCCTGATCAGACTGCGCAAATGCATAACGTTGGTTTTGTCATGACGCGGCTCATTTCATTTAAAGTGATGCATAGATAAATGATGCATTAACCATCTCATTGGTGGTCCAAAAATGTAATGTATTTCACTTCCTTTTAAAAATATTTAATCTGAATTGACCTGCATCAAGGCTGTGACCCTTGTCTACATCTATGCCTGACTAATTTAAATACTTCCCTTGGGGAATCTATAATCAGGTAATTACAGAGAATAGTCTGTCATTTATTTTCCCAAGGCCTTTGTGACTACTCTGTTTTGCATTTTCGTTTTGTTACTCCATTTTGCATTTACTTTTTGTTCATGAACTTTTGATACATGAAACTAGTTTTTATTTTAGGTTTTTAGAATTTCTCAAGTTTGACATCTAATAGGGCCCGGGCTTAAAATAAAGCCATCAGGGGGGGCGGGGCAGTTGTTGCAAGTTTCATTCTAACTTAATTAAAGTGTCTGTTTTTTCCTTAAAATGGAGCATTTGTTTTCTTATGTATAGCTACATATTTCTTTACCTTTTTCTCACCTGGTGGCAGTATTTACATGCCCTATTTGAATCAATATACACATATATCTCTTGCCTTACCAGGTAATGTTTATATTTTACTAATGTGTATTGGGTATTTAAAGAATGTCTCGGTATTGGTTTACATATATTAGACTGAGGCAACATTTTCTGTGATTTATGTGAAACATTAAAATCACCATTTAATGTGTACTGCTGATGTTGCATGAACAGTCATGCATTCAATGTAACACATGATAAATTGGTGTAATTCTGAGTATGATCAACTGTGTAGACTGGTAAATGTCATGATTGGTGGTAAATGCTTATATGGTGTTATATATGTGACATAAGTATAGTATTTACATACTGAATGTATAAGCTAAATACTCATACTGTCTCACGCAGTGTAATATATAATAAGGAATAAATTATGAATAGTTTTGACTAACACAAAAAAGCTGCTGCATATATGATTTGTAGGTGAGGAGAGCACACCTCCTCCCTCCCCCCCCCCATACATGTATTCATCCCTCACTCAGAATCTAATGAGAAGTTGTCATAGTTAATACATTAGTGTGTCAACAATGTACATGTGCATTATGAGCAGTACCCACCCGTCTATTAATCTACCTATCCGAAATGGTGACAGTTTCGATAACATGTGTTTTACCTGTCACACCTTTTGACAGGTGTGACATTTTTACAAATAAGAATACTATTGACTTACCGATATTGACAATTCTAATTCCTTCATCCTTTTCAAGAAATTCCAATGCCTTGGTAACATTTTCCAACTTTTGAGTACGGAAATTTGGTCTCTTGTTAATGGACTTGAATTTCTTGCCTGACAAAACTTCAACCAGTGCAATAAGCCTCAAACCGTTGGACAAATCCGCCTCCAAATCTGTTATTGACTTGTCGACAGTCTTCAAATGCTCGTTCGCCCATCTTGTAAAGGTATTCTTTTGGATTTTCTTCCACTGAGCATCTTCTGCTAAATCTCTTTCCGCCATCGGGGTTTCCTCGTCCTCTTCGTCGAGAAGATCCTCGTCGTATGCACTCATGTTTACGGTTTTGGGGGCGTGTCGAGATTAAAAATAAACTAGCCAATCGGTGCGTGTCGCTTTCAATTAATATTCGCTTGATGAATGGACGGCGGTCTTTTTGAAGTACGCTACAATCCTACACGTCCTGAAAAATACAAACAAAATGTTTATGATAAATTTATGCTGGGAAAAACGTTAAATGATATCATGCGTTTACGTTCGTCAAATACCACAAATATTTAACTGTTATCAATTGTGCAGTTTAAATGTTCTTATATGGACAATTTTGAAAATAAAAGTTCCGTAGAAGATTTGCCGAATAATGTTGCAATAACAAGAAACCTGTAACTGCAAACTATCTGCAAACAATTTCTTTCACAATTTTAGAAAATAATAATAAAAAACGTTTTTACTCTGGGCAAGATTATTATAACTACAATATAATTATCATTATTATTATTATTATTATTATTATTATTATTATTGGTGGTTGGGTTTTACGTCGCACAAACCCAGCAGAGGTCATATGTTTTTACTTGTGGAGGAAAACTTCACCCCCCCCCCCCCCCCATCTCCCCACTCCCATTCATTATTTCGGACCAGAGTAGAATCACCGACCTTCCGTGAATAAATATAATTCATGAGCATTGGGCCTACTTGGAACCACGGCCTAACATGGATAAATTCGCTGAGTAGAAAGAGCAACAAATGTCATCATCTTGTAATAACACACCATAATTTATCTTACAAATACTTAAATATTATGGATAAACTACACGCCAAGAACTTTTACATCTCCGGATTCTAGTTTCATTTTTGCATTTCGATACGAAATGTCGTTGTCTAGATATACATTAATACAAAAACAGAAAACCACAAATTCACTTTATGTTGATATTTTGTTCAAAATGTCACACACTCGACTGCATCAGACATTGGTGAGATTATTAGCAAGATAATCATTGATTATTATTCCCCCTGAATGTTGAGTAAACCCTAACTATAAGAACCTCACTCCCAGATTTTATCCTTAAACTGCTGAATTTGTGAAATAGATTTGCCCTACTTTGAATTCGTAACAGTCCATTCAAAGTTTAAGAAGCATTGGCAGTTAAAGGGATCATTCAAAGTTTAAGGAAACATTCAAAGTTAAAGGGCTGTAGAGCCTAGTCAGACAACGCGGGTGTGCAGAAAGGTCTGGGTCTTTACTGGTGGCCAGTAAACCAAGTAAACCACTTTCAGTTACAGCTAATCCCACAGGCTGATAGACTATTGGTTATTTTATAGTCATTTCCTCTCTATCCTTAACACAGGTTCTGATACTCTTGATAATGTTATAGTTATCCCCCTGCTATCCGTTTGTTTCAGACTTAACCCAGGTTCTTATAGACTATTGGTAAAATTTATAGTACCCCCTCCCCTCCTCATTTCAGGCGGTTATCATAATTATCCCTCCATCATTGGGTAATTTGATAGTTCCTTCTATGTCCCAACTAGGTTCTGATTTTCGGTATTTCAATAGTTACTTCACCTTTATCAACGCATTGTGTAGCTTAATATCTACTTTTATTATTACATACATGCATTACTAATTAATTATCATTCCCACATGAATTGTTGCTCGTGTTTTATATCGATCATTACTCTACAAATTACGTCCTTATTGTTTTATGCAATGGCTAATTGATAACTGTCGACCAATTAGTCGTTGCGTAATGTAAGATCAATAACCCTTGAACTCATTCACCCGGAGTGTTCGCGGAAGTGTTGTAAAATGTCTACAGAACACCCACCTCAAACCGTTCATCATTTATTTGTTCATTGATATAATTAATCTCAGGCAAAAAATATTGACTTGCAAAACACAAGATTTGAGATATTTTATTCCTAAGAAGCTTAGTTTAAAAGCACGTGAATAAGAGTTCCAAACCAACGTTTTTTAAGTTATATTAAGTTAAGTCCCTCTACTCGTATATTTATAGAAACGGAGTGTTTGGATAGTTATCATTTTCAATCACCGTGCTCTCCCCTTAATGCAGATTGCCAACTACAACAATAGTGCTCTCCCTTGCTGCAGTAGATATTGGTGGGGCTGCGTTTATCTTCTGGGAAATAAGCATTGAGAGAAATCTAAACGAGGTTTTAAATTTGCTATTTTTATATGTCCATGAAAATGCCAGACAAGTTTTCAAGACGAACAATGTTGATTATGTTTGACTGGCCTAATTTTGTCTCGCGAAAATTCTAAGAAACACTAAACAAATTGACACTCCCGCCTCCATCCCTCTTCGGTAAATTATCAGATATTCTACATGTACTTGAAGATCATGTTCACGTGGGTACTCGAATAATTAATCAAACTATTTCTTCCTTGCATAGTTTAAGTAAGATACATCATGTATTTGGGTTTTTT